CTCTTCCCTCTCATCTTCATAGCTGAGCTGTGCTGTGCTGTGACTTGCATGAGACAAGCAATGGCCATAGCAAAAGAGACCTGTAACAACCAAGTAAATGTGATGACAGCATCCAAGTAGTTGATGACCTGAAGAGGGCTCCAAAAGCTTTAAATCTGTTCTGTGCTAAAACAAAGGCCTCACAAAAGCAATATTCTTTCCCAAAATTGCTAACCCTAGTCCCCACCCCTATAGAAAGATTGTAGTCACTGACAACAGCGCTTTAAAAACTCTTAATACAAGCTCTTCAGTAAACTCAGCAAGGAAAAAACTCAGGATATGCTGGAACAGAAGAAGCCTTGAGTCACCTACTATAAATAATTTAGCACTACAAGCTCTTAGCTGTCTCTCCAATCTTCATCCCTTCCCATCTTTAATCAACAAATTGAGCACCACTTTGCAAAACAGTCTACAATTTAAAACTGAGGGATGCTTGGCAAGTGTTTCATTCAGTTCAGAAAGAACCCCATGTGCCTATTTGGGTTGGGAAGATTTAACATATCCAGCTCTGTGGGAAGTTTTAATGATAAACCCCTGCCTTCCCTTACAGAGCATACTACATTTCTCAGCCAGACACTCATATTTATAGTTAACTAATTGTGATTATCTTAGAATGGGATAAGGGGCACTTCCACCCTGTTTACCATCTCACATTTTGCTTGCCTAAATAGGGACACCGTACCAAATGCCGGAGTACATCTCCACATAAGCAGAAATTACAGGCTATATTTACTATTTTTAGTTACTTTGAAACATAGTCTGCCCTTAGTTCTTATGCTTGGAGAGGGACGTGGAACTGGTTTTAAAAAAGGCAGTGTCATCTTGTAGCTGCCTTAAAAAAAGGCAGACTGCTCATAGCTATTGTAAATCCTTGTTGTCCCAAACTGCACTATGTTATAGTCTCATTAACACATTAACACAAGCAGCTTCCAAGAACAGAGATCTACTTGTAAATCTAGTCTTTACCATCTAGTGCTTTACTGGGGTGGATGATTTTTTTTAATAGCAGAATACCATTAAATGGTAGAATGCAACCTGAAAATAACTTGCCGGTAAATGAGGAAAAGGATAACTCTACTGTTCCTTTATTTTTTTTGTGTCCTTTTGACAAGATATTTAGTAGAACTCACAGATTTGTTGGAATTTGACAGTGTTGCACTGTGAGCAATTCTGCTATGGCTTCAAACTCGTGACCTCTCAGCTATCAACCATGCGCCTTAATACTCCAGAACTCTATTTTTGGTCAGGTAGCATCTAGAAAACCAGCCTTTTCAAACAGTAGAGCTAAGAGCTGGGCTGGTGCAAGTGCTAATGGGAAGGAAGCAAAAGGCTGGGGTTTTTTTGCAAAGACTATCTTTAAATAGCTTAAGTTCTGTAATAGCAAGGCTATGCACATGTGCACGTGCACCCGCATACTGTAGGGACTGTAAGATGAACAGTAAAGGCGGTCTGGTTTCTTAATACAGCTGTGAAAATAATGGACTTTTTTGGGTCAGTGGCTGAACCAATCTCCTCCTCCTTCCCCATCTCCTCTCCCAAATCAAGAGTTTGGTTCCAAGTGCGCTATAAAAATATGATTTTTATCAGTGAAACAAAATAACTGAAAAAAATCATAACACTTATTTCAGGGCTAATAAATGTCTCTCTTTTTGGGAGGGTTCTTTAATTTTATTTTTAAAATGTAGGTCAAGTTAAAACTAAATATACCTTAGCAAAGCAAAAACTTAAAGATAGTTTTGGATATGTCAAAAGAGTGTCTGACATTTCTTTTAAATCTCCACCATTGAAAAAAATCCCAATAACTCACCAGATTTAGTAAGTTTTGTCTCCTTTCCACAAAGCTGAATTTCTGAATTTACTTTTTTTGGGGAGAAAACTCTACAACAAAGCAGACACCTGTCCTTGTTCTTTACTGTCTGTTGGTTGCACTTTAAATAAGCTCAAGAAATAAATACACAAAAGTGATACACTGTTTTCTTTTTCCAGTTTCACTAACAGACTTCCTAGGAGGTGTAGTTATGCAAAGCTCCCCCCTCCTGCCTCTTCATTTAATAATTTAAAGTGTGACATAAGCCAACTTGCAGGGAAAGAACATGTGAGCTAGGTATTTTAATAGCATTCTTTCAAATGCACATTGATATTTTTTTTTTTACTTTTCTGCTGCCCCATCTGTTCCTCCAACCCTTCACCCACTTAAATACCATGTTGTTTAGCAGGGAAGAGTTAGAAGTCAACAGTCAAATCTGTTTTCTCAATTTGCTTTGAACCACATTCTGCTATTATCTAATTGTAAACAGGTAAAGTAACAAATTTCTATCTTACTATCTAGATGTATGGCAATGTCTTACTCTGTGCAGCTTTTTGCCCTATCCACAGGAATATGTTAAGTACACACTCTAGCAATTAATGTCTTCCTTTTGCGCAGTGTGTGTTACCTTCATTATGCTTATAGACTTTTCACTAAAATAAACTCAGTATAGTAAAAGCTGTTATCTAGCATCCATGGGGAATGGGGGGTGCTGGTTAATCAAATATGCCGGTTATCTGAGAGTTATACTTAGCCATAGTTGCAGGATGGGCAAGATATTCAGCAGTAAACTCATGATCCAGCATGAGCACAACACGATCACAACGGCGGATGTTTACAATTGAGACTGCTGCTAGCAACACCGCTCGGCAGCATCCTGAAGCTTCCATAAACAACAGATCTATGAGAAGCGCACGACAAGATGCCGCATAGCAAGATGTATTGCCGTCTATGACAGAGTTAATAGAGCATTCTGGATGGTAAAGTGCCGAATAACACAGCTTTTACTGTACATTAAAAATGTTTTCACTAAATTCTGTGGAGATATATCATCACTGGCTTTCCTAGAAATAATGGAGCAACTCGCAAATGTGTGTACGTTTTTGACACACACACACACACACACACACACACACACACACACACACACAGAGTTTGGCTCAATAACTACTAATTTTTCTGGATAAATCTGGGTTTCTTTACCATTTTAATTGAATTACATTCCCAAAACAAAATTATGTGCTGATGAAACCCTAGCTTAAGGAAGGTGTTTATAATTGTCCGTAAATCAAATCCACGGGCAGTTTCTGTAGCTCGCCAGTACTGTTAATCTGCACTAAGATAATTCTGCACTGACAAGGTCACCCACCAGTGATGGAAAGGCCATCATATCAAGGAATGGTTCTGATGTGCTGATAAAAAATAATTCACATTTTTGCTTTCTGTGGAATTATCTTTCCCACAGACATGCCATCTTCATCTGTGTGCAGGGATATTACTTAACCATATGAAGGTAAGTTTTCTTAGATACTGAGTTGCCTGATAGCTAGGCAAGGAAAGGAGCTGAAGGTGAGTGTACAGGAAAAAGGTAAGGTCAAAAAGGTAAAATGGAAGAGAAATGCATAGAAAGGACATCATTGAGAACAGTGAGAAAGAATAGCGACATGTCTGATACATTAATCCCTATGAAATCAGGGATTTCATAAAATCCGTCATAAAATGCTCTTTCCAAATTTAGCTCATATCCTACCTGGCGTAATTCTGACAGTCCTTTGAGGATTGCCTGTTGCCGGTCTTTGTTTTTCACAACTTCAGGATTAAGAAGTGGATCTCTCACATGATCAGAGCTAAAAATCTGTCGTGGTGTATGGTAAGAATCTAAACATAATCATAAGTTAATATATTAAGCATAATGTAAATAATGTAATGATGTTTTTCCTTGAGTAAACTCTATAGTTTGTAAAAATACATTTTCTTTCATTGTCAGTTTTTCACCTCTAAAATTATTTTGTAAGTCAAATCATGTATAGGTTCCTGAAATAACCAATATAGTATTACGGGTGTTTTGTCAAAGAATATTACTTGTAAAAAGTGACAAAAAGCTAACTTTGTTATTTCCTTTTTATGTTTCCATAGCTGATCAAGCTTTTTGTATAATGCTTTGCCCTAACAAAGCTGCTTCAACAAAGGCTTTTATAAGAACAAATGTCAGACTTCAGTGTACTGTTATAGCAGCTAATCACAAGAGGTTGCTTACAGACACAAAAAAACAAACTGCATTTTACTTTAAACTTGGTGCACCCCCGCACTAAACCCAGTGCATGCCCAGAAGACTCAGCTCGCCCAATTAAATAGATAAAAGTGCTAAAAAGCCCTACTGAAGTGCGCGATCTATGTAGACGGTGGAGCTGGGTCAAGCTAATGCGCTGCTGCTTCTGGTAAAGTGTTTCCATTTTTTTTCACGTCTGTCAGCAGCCAGAATTCCTAAACTAAATCATGATGGTGTTTCCTCTCATAAGAACGTAAAAATTGCCATTTACTGCATCAGACAATAGGTCTATCTTCTCCAGGATCTTGGGTCACATGAGGGCAGAGAGTGGATGCTGAAAGGGAGAGCAAACGGGGTATTTTTTCCCCTCACTATTCCTCTCTGTCTTGCATCTCCCAGCATTTAAGATCTGGCAAAGTTCTCATTCACAGGCTGTACCCCTAACTCTCCTGTTCAATAGCTACTGATGCTCCTTTCCTCCAAGAATCTCTCCAATCCCTTTTTGAATGTAGCTAAACTGTCAGCTTCCACAACATCTGGTGGCAATGAGTTTCACACTAATTACATGCTGGGCACCTCTACATGAGACATTTACTGTTCAGTTGGCTAATTAACCGAGCAGTAAACATCTCCACATCTACACGTTTGCTTATTAGGGCACGTGAAACTAATAAACTCTGCAGAAGGGTAGTACTTACAAATACAAGTATAGTTGGACCCCAAGTTACATGGGGGATACGTTCCTGAAAAACACGGTGTAAATTGAAACGGTGTAACTTGAGGCATTAAGTCAATAGAAAATGGGCATAGGGACCTGGGACCAATATTTGATAACATTATTTCATAATAAAAGGATATTTAAATACAAAATAATGGGTAGCCTTATTAAAATCTTTACTCCTGGCTATGTGCTCATACAGAGACAAAGCTTTAGCCCTAATTGCCGCGCCATTGACACCTGATCATTTTGTATTGGTCATTTCATTGATCCAAAGATTAAGGAGTTTCTCAAACTTATCTAAATGAGGAATTCTAGTCACCAACAACACTCAAATTCACAGGGGTTGTCGTTTTCACACAGTCTCACTTTTTCACACAGTCTCACTTTTTTGCTCACTTTTTTTAATGGTACACACAGTCAATTCACTTAAACTGTATTGGAGAACAATTGACGCAGCACTATTGCCTTCCCTTAATTTATCAAGAATTTCTATTTTCTGGGCCAGGGTGATCGACTTACATGCTCTTTTGAGAACAACATCAAAGGCTTTCTTTGATGCCATTTTCACAAATATTCAGGGGTTAACGTAACCAAAAATGATGGACAATCTTGGAGGAGA